TCCAAATGCCACGTGTTTCTATGGCAATTCTTAGATTAACTGGTCCTCCAGTAATGCATTAAAAACAAGAAAAAGTGATCATTCCCCTGTACTGTTGAGGCCACGCCTCGAGTGCTGTGTTCAGTTTTGGGCACCTCACTCCAAGGATACTGAGGTGTTGGAGCAAGTCCAGAGAAGCACAATGGAGCAGGTGAAGGGTCTAGACAGTAAGTCATACACAGAGTGGCTGAGGGAGTTGAGGGTGTTTAGTCTGGAGAAGAGGAGGCTCAAGGGAAGCCTTAACACTCTCTACAACTACCTGAAAGAAGGTTGTAGAGAGGTGAGGGTTGGCCTTTTCTCATGGACAAGAGGACACAGTCTTAAGCTGCACCAGGGGAGGTTCAGGTTGGACATCATGAAGAATTTTTCCCCTGAAGGGGGGTTTAAGCCTTGGAACAGGCTGCCCAGGGAGGTGGTAGTCACCATCCATGGAGGTGTTCAAGAAATGACTGACTGTGGCACTTAGAGTGGTGTGGTTTAATTGACATGGTGGGTGTTCGGTCCAAGGTTGGACTCTATGATCCCAAAAGTCTTTTCCAACCTTAATGATTCTATACACAACAGTCTCCCCTCTCAAGGCTTCCAGAAAATGGATAACAAGTTGATGCTCCTCAAAGGAAAACACATAGCCAGGGGCCAACCTCTTACATCACAGAGAAATAAAAATCTCTTTCAGCCCTCTTTTCTATTTCCTTCTTCACCTTGTCATAAACATGGTTTATTAATTGATGATACTACTAGCTCCTCTGTACTTACCACCATAAATTAGGGCATCAGGACAAAGGAGTCAGGTATCAAACAGAAAGTGCAGAGGGGTCACAGAAAAAAGACAAAAAGTCAAAAATTTGCCATGTACACAAAGAGGATGGAAATATCATAGAGGGAAGAAAAATAGTATCTTTAAGGTTAATGTACAAGGTTGAAAGCGACTGAAAACACCAGTATTTAAAATCCACTGAATTGAGGTGCTGCTATGAGAAACCAACACATTCAGAATATGGAAAGGAAAAATGACTCGTGATGAATGAGAGAAGGGAGATAAAGGTCAGGTATGGGAGAGTCACCAAAACTTTCTCATAAAGCCAGAAGGAACGAGGAAAGTTACTAACGCTGTGGTGGTACAAGGCAAAGTATCAGACCTTAATTCAATAAAATCCCGAAATTCCAGGAAAAAGAAGGCAGATTCAGAGGGAAGCAAGGCAGCATCTGGAAATAACTTCAGATACAGAGGCTGCATATGTGGGGTCTTGGCAAAACCAAGTATGCAAAAAGGAGGTTAAAAAGGAAGGTAGTGGGTTAACTATAGCGATCTAGAAGTTGCAGTGGTGCTTAGAACTGAAATGATCCAATACAGCACAAACTTTAACTTTGGGAACAGATCAGAAGAGAAATGGTAGAGCCTATGAGAAAATACCACCACGTAGCTGGAAAATACCCATAAAAACACTACATACATCAGTTACAGAAAACAGAAAGGCCAGTGTTGAGTGCCAAAGGTGACAGACAGATTAAGACGGATAAAATAAGAATTACACTTCAGATTTAACCACGAACAAGCCACCTGTGACCTTACAGCAGTTCAATGAACTCAATCATCAGAAAGAAGGCTGGAGATCAGTGAAAGCACGGATGGACAGAAAGTCAAGACAATACAAAAATATATCATTAAATATTCTGAAAGAACTGAAGACAGGATGCAGGCCTGCAGTGAAAGGGCAATATATGCTGTGAAGAACACATTTCAAATTAAATTTCTGAAGTGTTTACTTTCAATTAAGAGAAACTGGAACAGTTTAAATGAAACAGAAGTGGAACTTAAACAGGGAGTGGCAGTGTGATTGAGGAACAGTGGCAAGTGTGATTGAGGCAATGGGAAAGGATGGTGATATTAAACAGCAGAAAGTATAAAGGAGACCTCTAAATCACAAAGAGATGAAAAAGATTGCCATAAAGTGTTACAGCTATCCTTAAGCCAATATATTTGATGCACAACTAAGATAGTTCTTTAACATCTTCACTTTAACATCTTCCTGTGATATTTAAAGGAAGCACTGAATTTCCAAAAAGCATTGCTTTAAATTTCTGAAGGAGAAATTTTAATATAACTCACTTTTACCTTTTTATCCTTACCATCTGGAAACATTTACAGTTGCTAAAAACTCCTGCTATCAGGAACAAAAAAACCACACACACAAAAACCCAGGCTTCATACAGCCTCCTCCACACCAGGAAGTCAAAGCAAATTGGGAAGGATTTGCTACTAGCACTTAACCTTCACCTTACAGAGTTTATTTTTAGGATTGAGTGGCAAGCTGTAACTCCAGAATGAAAGAATAAGGGAAAAAACCAGACTGAGCCACAGTTCTCTGTTTCAGATATACTGGTTTTATTCTGAATTGTTAAAGTGTAAGCAAAAAAAAAAAAAAAAAAATAAAGTTAAAAGCAAAACTTTATCACTCCTTTCTTGTCCAAGCCCTTCATCTTATATTTTTAATGTTATAAAAATTAAAAGCTCCCTGGAACAGGAAGACTTTATAAAAGTCTAAAGCAACACATTTGCAGTACCTACCAACATTTAGTCATTGGCAGGATGACACTATTGTCTCTGTTCTGCTCAGAGTGAAACTCTTATCACACACAAGTTCACAGCAAAATGACACATTGCAGAGATGCTGTGTGTGAACTACTGACAGTCCAACATTCACTGATTGATAGAGCTGAGAAAGAGCCAGGCCCTGCTCTCCCATCCCACAGCTGCCAGCTCAGCTACACTTGTTCACACACGGCTCACGAAATTTTCTTTTAGTTTTGCATTTATTTCCAGTTATTACAAACTCTGACATTCACCCATACACACCCCCCTCCCTGCTGCCCTATGACACTAACCCTGAGGCTGAAGAAAAGATAATCCTACCTAAACACAAGAAGTTCATGCAATGGCTTTGGATTCCTTTTTTTCCCCCCATCCTCTACCAATCAGTCAGTTTAAACAAACTTACGGAAATTAGTCCCAAAGCACTTTTTATCCAAGAGAAAGAAAGATAAAAACAAAATATTCAATTACAAATACTAATTAAAATTATCATTAAAGCCATCACTGTATTTTAGCATCCAAAACAAAGTTATGATCCCCCCTGAAAGGGCAAAAAAAGAGATTATATAGAGAAAAAGAAATTGAACTTTAAAAATTTAGGTTTCAGAAGCTAAATTGCTGTTGGTAACACTGAAGAAATATTATCAATCACTCTTTACTATTGTATTTAATCCAAACTATCTCCATGAAACTTGCAAATGAAGTTAATAGGTGGAGCCAGCCAGCCAGATCACAGAAGAAAAAACAAAAGTTTGGATTGCAGTTGTTTCTTGTTATTGCCCTCAAAAAAATAGAGTTTTGGCTTTAGTATCCTCCTCAACAGTTTTACATTCTGTGGCCAAGCTGTCAGTACAAAGGAACCACAAAGCCCAATATAACTTTTGAAAAACAAACGTTGATTATTACAACAAATAAGGTCAGCAAGAGCACTTGAAAGGCTCTCTGTTCATGGGGTGGTATTACCCTTGAAACTGTCTTTATACAGTTTAAAGAAATGGACTCATAACACAACACTGTTGTTTGATTCATAAACTCTCAGTGTCAGGGGCCATCCCCGTGTTCTAGGGCAGAACAGTGCCTGGCACAGGGTGTTCCAGTACATTATAAATACTATTAGCACCACTTATTACTCAACATACATCACCAACATATTCTTAAAAGGCTTCTGCCCCAGCAGGTTTCAGCTAAAAACATTGTTAACCCGCAATGCAAAGTTCAGGTCCAGGCTATTTCTATGCCCTTTGTTCCTTCTGAATCTTCTAATATTCACTACTGCAAAAATCTGTACTATTAGAAAACTCCTTTGCTGAAATCCCTTTCTTGACTCAGCCCAGGACTTTCTACTCCTAAGAAGTGATTCTTTCAAGGAGACCATAAGGGCTGCAATATGAACCCCAGCACGGGTGCATCTCAATGCCTCATTATTATCATTAAGTTTACACATGGACTATCCTCCATAGATAGCAAACTATTGTCATGCTAATAAAATGGTCTGAGGAGTGATACACACCAGAGGTTGGATCTTTAGAAGCTCATCATGCAGCTTAAATTAATGGCAACTACAGGCACTCAGGTTCATACAAGGCCAAGGCATTACACGATTTTCCCTGGGTGTTTGTGTCTTTATCAGATCCTTCTCAGGTCTCTCAGCATCGCCTCAACTGCTGGATCGACTTCCTGTCACAGCCCAAACCTTTCTCCATGCCTGCTAATTGCCCTTTATCCAGGCAACGGGAACGCCTCGTGCTTCCAAGTGAAGAAACACCACACACTTGGTGGCATACACACAACTATTAAAACACAACCGTACTTCAGGGTGATGAAGGAATCACTTGTGGGAAGAGAAGGTTGTAAGATAAGGAAATTCAAGCCTGTCCCAGTGATTAAATAGATACCAAAGATATCAAACGCGAAGCACATGAACATCACACCCAGCTATGACCGAACGCCGTGACAAGCCAGGAGCAGGTCTAGGAACAGCACTGGCCCAGAAACAAAATAAAGTCTTCCAACGTGGCGTTTTTGCTGTCAACACCTTCCTCTGAGAGCCACGTCAAAGCCCCAAACCCCAGGAAGCACCACCCGCCATGGCAGCGCTCCTGGCACACCTCCTTATGGGGGGGTTTCACAGCCCCTTCAGGGGCGATGCTGGGGGGGCTCCGCCTGCGCTGCCAGGAGGAACCCGGGGTACCCACTCAGCCATGAGGGGAGGCTTTCGCCCTAACTAGGGAACGTCATCCTCTGCCACAGGGTTGGGGAGACCCTCGCTGTCCGGGACTGCGGAGCAGCAATGAGAGAGGCGCGAGGCGTCCTTCGGGATGAGCAGCTAAAAGACACGATAAAGGGTGCTCTTGCCCCACGTCCCTACCGTAACAGCACACTGAGGCCAAAAGGGAAAAGCGACTTCCCCCTCCCACAAGCAAAAACAGGAGGGAGGGACGAGCGCTCGCCCCCGCCCCAGCACCACCCCTCTGCCCTGAGGGCCGGGGGGGGCCGAGAGGGCGACCCCTCCATCTTGTGCCGACACGACTTACCCGCCGGAACCCTCCGCGTTTCCTTTTGGCTGGCTCCGCCACAGCCGCGTCACGTGGTCAGGAAAAGCCCCACCCCCTCCCTCCGCCTTTGCCGGAGACGAACCGTTGGCGGGGTGGTGTGCGCGTGCTGCCGGTGCGGCGCGTGCGCACGCGCCGAGCAGCGCCGGTGGGGGGGAGAATAGGGGTCGCGCGCTTTCCGCGCGTGCGCCGGCGACGGCGGTGTCGGAGCGGGCGCGGAGCGGCGGGAGGGCTCGAGGGCGGTTTCCCGGGCGCCGCGGGAACGGGGGCGCGCGCAAGCGCCGGGCGGGGGGAGGGGGGGCGGAGGGGGCGGGGGCGCCGCGGTGCCGCCCGCAGGAAGCGGCGTCGCCCGGCCCCGCGCCGCGAGAGGCGGGGAGAGACAGGCCGGCAGCGAGGCACGTCGTTTTCCTCCCGCTGTCGGCCGCCCCCGGGGACGCCGCTCCGTGAGGAACAAACCGCCGCGAGTCGGCAAGGCGGAGCACGCTCCCTCCCCTAACATCCGCCCGTCCTGCGAAGGCGGGACGTGACCGCTTACCTCCCCTCGTCCCCGGCTCTCGCCGCCGCCCGTCCGAGGGGAGCCCGGCACTTTTTGTTGGCCGCGATGGTGCCCGGCCCGGCCGAGTAAGGAGCGCGATCCCGCCGAGAGGAGCCCCCGAGCCCTGTCGCGCCAGGCCGCCGGAGCACCGCGGCGTGTTGTCCCTGCCCCGCAGCGCCCCGGCGGGTGACGGCGCTTCCGAGCGGCCTCAGGACTCGGTCTGGGCCGGGGTCCGCTCCCGGCAGCGCCGCCCGGCCCGGAGTCCCCGGCGGGACCAGGGGGCAGCGCCGCCCGCCCCGTCCCCCGGCCGGAGCCAAAATGTCCTTCTTCAACTTTCGCAAGATCTTCAAGCTGGGCGGCGAGAAGAAGAAGAAACAATACGAGCACGTCAAGAGGGATTTGAACCCTGAGGAGTTCTGGGAAATCATCGGGGAGCTGGGAGATGGTGCTTTCGGTAAAGTGTTCAAGGTAAGGGCGGGCGGCGCGGGTCCCTGGTGTGGCTCATAGCTGGGAAATGACTCGGAGCAGCGGTGCTGCCTTTCAGCGCTGCCTCGGGCTCCCTGTCTGCCACCCCCGGCACCTCGGGATACCTGCTGGGAGCGGCGAGTTCGGCACAACTTGGGGCGGAGAACGCCCGGTGCCCCCCCGGGAGCGGCGGAGGCAGAGCGGGGCATCCCGGCGCCGCTTGTCCACTGAGCCTCGCGAAACTAAAGATAGAAAAGACCTATTAGGTCATTGTCCCGCCTTCTGCTCCACCCTGCCAGCTGCCGAATCGCTCGTTTCCCCTGTATTTTGGGGTTTTTTGGGACCCGTGCACAGTATGGCCTCTAACCTTACTATATTTTCTTAGGTGCATGTTTGGGGTTTTTTTTCCTAAGTTTCTGTACGGAAGGAAGCCAATGAAGAGTAAAATTGACTCCTGTACCTCGTGCATAGTGTATAGAGCCAAGCTCTCGTCGCCGTATTGGGCATTCCCCCATCTTGCTCCATGTGGAGTTGAATTAAATAGTTGTGTTATCTTAACTTTCACTGTGTGGCAGAATTCCTGTGTTGGATCTCCTAACTTCTCTCTTTTGTTTGCTCTTTAAATCTTTAAGTGTACTAATACAAGTGGTGTTTTGAAGGATGCTTACCTAGAATTTATCAAGCCAAGTGGAGTACGATGACATAGATACAACCCTACTAGTGTTTGACAAGACTGTACCTTTCAGGCAAATCTTCAGCTACTTCTTCTAAAAGGCCGTTAATGCTCCGCCTTTGACTTAGGGATAGTGTGGAAAAACATCATGGAGGGATAAGCATGACAGAATTGGGAACTGACATGAATTGAGACTCTGAAGCCGGTTCTTGAGACTAGGAAAAAGTAGCATGAGAAAGAATAGCATTTACAGTGTTTCTGAGAGCTAATTTGGTCAAAAAATGTTTATATTTAGAGTACTGTATTTGAGAGTTTATGAAATCTGGATACTCGTGAAACGTGCTATTTTGGGTAGAAATTCTATTGTACTGTGGTGTCACCTGTTTGTAAATTTGAGCAGAAGTGCCACAGTCAGTTCAGAATGTTAGGTGGGGTCATTTCACCCAAAGAATTCCTGTCAATGTTACATTTTAGGAGCATCTGGTTTATTTAGATGTTGGTGTATTACATAGTCTGGATGGTGATTCTCATGTCACTTTGAAAGATTAGAGATTTTTTTTTTAATTAAAATGACTAGGAATATGTCTGAAGTTACTCTATAATAAAACTTACTGGCTGTAAAAATGTAACGTCTCTAATGGCATTTGCAGAGTATTAAAGTTTCTCTTTGAGCTTCATAGTGGAGTTTTGATTCCCATTTTGTGAATATATGCCTCAGAGATACAATACTAAATGTGTTCTTCTCCTCCACGTGCATTTCCCCCCCATCCTCAAACCTCTTCCTATGTTTATTTGTAGGCATGTCTGTATTAGCAACAGTAGTAGAGGAAGGTGTCTGAGCAAGGCAGCTGTAAATGTTGCATTTCAGTGTACTTTGTACACAAGCAGGAGAATGTTATTTCATGGCCAGAAATAAGACTCAAAGTGAAAAATCACATCCAAATGGAAAACAGAGTTAACTGTTGAAACTGGGTTTTTCAAAATTAAACTCTATTTTAAAAATTGTAGTAGTCAGAATTGCACATGCGTTTACATGGGTAAAGCTGTTGAACGTAGCACTTGTGAAGTTAACAGGTACTAGTGTTCCTGGAAAAAAATTCCCTTTTAAAAAAGAAATCTCTTACTGCGTGAGTTCAGCAGCATTCATTTTGTTTTCATCTAGTTTGAGAAGGAGGATTACACACAGATACTGATTGTACTTGTATTCCTACATCTGAGTGTACTTGGCAAGCAACTGTAAAGCAAAGATGTGTTAGATTACTCTTTCGTGGATATACGCATCAAATGAGAAACTGCAGGAATAGCCATCCAATTCCTTCTCAATTTTGAATTCAAGACTATGAGCTGGAACAAAGTTCTCAAGTGAGTGAAGATTTTGTCTTCAGATAATGCGAGTGTGGGCGGTTGGGGTTTTTTGTTTGTTTTATTTGCAAAAACATCCCCCGCTATCCTAGTGTCAGTTACATTTGCCAAAACTACATTTGCCTTTGCTTAAGATCCTAGGATCTACGTGTGACAGGGTTTTGGCAGGTATTTGTTAAAAGGCAGTTGCCAGATAAATAAGCCTATGTATACTTTGGATTTCTAATAAAAAGTAGGTTAGATTGGTTACATGCTATGATTTCCTTTAGAGGAGTATTTGGTTTAGTTGTGTAACTGATCTTCTGGATAAAGTATCAAATATTTAAATAAAAGTTCAAAAGCAACTCTGAAATGATTGACAGTACTGGAAAACCTCACTGATTAATTTATTTTGAATTTTAAAATCATTACTTAAAATGCTGTCTAGTGATAATTAGTTTTCTGTACAGAAGTCTTAAGGGTGTTGAAAACTTGGGATTCAATCCCCTTCTTCCCAATCAACTACAAGGATCTTGCTTATTTTTTTAATACTTTAGCCAATTGCTAGAAGAGCTTATTTCCTTTGAAGCTGTTTGTTCTAGCCTTCTAAGGCTTTTTGAGTTCTGTCAATTCATACATTTGTATTCACTAACTTCTAAGTAATGTTTAGAAATACTCTGTTTCAACTGCTGCTGCAAGTCTCTTGTGATCAGAGTAGCTCTGTAATTGCAGACTACTGATGGCAAAGGTTTATGACTGTATAGGACTTTTCATTCTGGCCCTTTTCAGCCTCTTCAAAGAGGCCACTTTAGACTGTTTTCTTTTTGCTCTTGGCTAATGAATAATAGTGTAGTTTTCTGTCCTTTTTCAATTTATAGACCCTTGCAGTACTTCAATGTCAGGTGATGGCCCTTGTAAAGAGAATTTCGAGATTGCTGATGGAATTTTTTCCGATCTTTTATTTGGCTTTCATGAATTATTTAGAATTGCTGAATGGATTGCTAGAGTTGTGACAGACACTGAAGAAGCGTAGTATTAGCATTGGAGTCTGATTTCAACTTTGAAGTTTGGCAGCTAGACACAAACTACTATCTTAAAAAACCAAACCAAAAACCAAAAGATGTATCAGTTTGAAACTACTCTTGATTTGATCAGGTTAAGTGTCCTCAAAAAACTTACTGTGATTGTAATGAGTTTGCTTTAGAAATTAGTTATTATATCATGTAGCTGTATGTGTGTTATAGTTCCCTGTTGTGTCCAATATCAGTTCTGTGCACGCTGTAAACATTGCCTTAAGGTAAATCACTGTAAGTGTTAACAACTCTGATCAGCTTTAAGCTGCTTTCTGAATTCTCAGAAGTTCACGTCCAGATGCTGTGAAAACACACCTTTAAAATGCGTGACTAGAACTGTGGCTCTTTCTTGCTAAAGTTCCTAATGGAGACTTTATCATACAGATGCACACAATTAATGAAAATGCAAATATCTTCCTAAGTAAACCTTCTGAATTAAATAAAGGGCTGGGACTATATTTCAGTAACATTTACCAACCTTTTTGGTAGTAAGAACATGGTACACTGATGTAGAGCACATTTTCCCAATGTTCAGTTGGTGTCGTCTCTAGAGGATATTCCTCCAAGAAATTAACAGACTTTTGGCCATCATTATGATTATTATGAATACCATCTCTACAAATATATTAATTTTAAATCTTCTATGGGAACAGAGGTAGAATATATGTGGCAGTATAGCATATGTATTACAAGGGGTGTGTATATTTATATGGTATGTGTATATATATTTTTATAGAAAGTGACAAATTATTATTAGAGAATCCTTCAGACTTGTCGGGTTTTGAGTTTCATTCATGCTTCTTTGTTTGAATTGGAATATTCTGCCCATTTATATTATCTCATTTATTACCTCAAATCTAAAATGTTGGAAGCACTGTGTATATAATATTCTCATAGGAATTTGGAAAATTAAATATTTGTATTTCATATGAAGCTACTAGGACAAGTTTTCCAACTCTGAGCAACAAACTGGTGCTTGGTTAAAAACTCTGTTCTGTTTTCTCTTTAGGTTCAGAGAAGAAATGTTGTGGATGCTGATAACCATAATCATGGTGAACAGCATTACCCTAATGCATTATCTGTTGAAAATTATAACTACATTAAGCATTCATATATATTTATATTGGCAGTAGTGGCCAATACAAACTCATCTCTGGCTGGTGACAGTGGACTTCTGATACACTGTTTCTTAAAGTCCGGTAAACTAATGATGGTGCTTCATTTAGGTTAAGCATTTTTATCTATATTTGAAACAATCTTATCTGTAATGTACCTAGATAACTTTACAGGGTAGCTTGTTTTTGCCTTAATGTCTTCTGCTGAAGGTAGAAACACATAGAATTTTAAAGTAGTGATTTAATAAGACTGGACCACTTATATAATTTAATGATTATATGTTCTTAACTCCTTTTAATGTTAAAATGTGAACTGACTTAGAAGTACTGTGGCTACTTAGAAGTACTTTTTTGTGTATCACTAACATCACAACTTATTTTCTAACCATAGAAAATGCATTAATTAGTCTGACCTGAAAACAAAATAAGGACAGAGCAGGGAGAATTTATATTTCCTAGTTTCTCTGGCCTTACAATACATTGTTCTAAATTCCTGCAGTTGGATATTGCAACTTGAAGTTACCTGACTGATAGTAATATATCATGCTGCTTCCTAGGCTGAATAGCTTTTACATTTGTAACTTAAAGATTCACAGAAATAGATTTTGACCACTTACTTAATATCTAAGCTTGGAGCACAGGTAGACTGTTTTTTTTCTACTCTTTATCTTTTGACTTGTGTGCTGTCATTAGTTCCCCTAATTCTTCAGAAGAATTTGTTAGAGATGTTGGAGCTTGGCAAACATTCCTGTGTAAATGATACAGTTCCCAGTGAAAGATGTTGCTTGAGTTTGTCTGAAG